AAACAAGCCATAGGAGATAGATGGTTCCTGGGGGGAGCTGATACCTAGAGAAAATATTCACCACTTCCTATCATGTTACATGTCAACACAAATAGCTACAACACCAAATGATTTGTCAGCACATTCTGTGGTTTGTAGTCAAACATAGAACACTTACTGATTCCTAGTTGTCCTAGAATGAAACAAGAGATAGTGTCTCCTCACTGTGTCGTATGCCACAGGACCAGACATTCAAAAACCAATGTAGCAACCTGTGTTCTCTAGGACCCCACAGAACGCTAAGGAATTCACACTATAGTGTCACCACTCTAGGAGACTGGGACAAGAGGATCACAATTTCAAGGCTAGACTAGGCAGCTTAGTGAACTATAAAGACCCTGTTTCAAAATTTTAAATTTTAAAAATAGCATGGTTGGTGTTTTAGCTCAGTGCAAAGGCCCTGGGTTCAATACCCAGTAATGAGAAAAAGTAATCTGCCAAAGTCCAGTAATATAAACTTGTACCTTCTATAGGTGATATGGAAAGAATGGCAATAGGAAAAGGACTTTGGGAAGAATTTATGGATGAACTCCTCCAAGGGTCATATAAACGTCTGTCAAGTGGCAACTATGGAAGATCAGGAAAGCAGTCCCCAGAGAGGTGAACTAGCATGTGCAAAGATGTGGTGGTGAGGAGTACAATCCTTTCAAGCACTAAATGAAGATTTAATGTGCATTTGGAGGAGAACAGTGATCACTGGTAGATCACTAGCCTAGCACGTGGGAGGCCCTGGGTGCAATCCCTAGCACTGTAAATAAAGATGCAATAAAAATCTAGTATATATTGCATATTGTGTAGAAACACAAGGACACAAAGAGAAATTTAACACCATCCTCCTGGTTCTATTTTGGTGCTCATTTACTTATTGTATACCTCCCAATTTACTTTATGATATGAAGATAGCTGTATTTTAACACATCAGATTATTTAGATTACTTGTAATAGTTTATTAAACTATATGAAGCTATGATGTTTTATATTTTTCTTAGTAGAACCTATTCTGCAGTACAACAGATTATTAACAATAAACGCATTTTTCACTGGTGTCTTGAAATCTTCTTTCTCTGCCAAAACAATCTTATTTCAAATCAGAATTACCAATATCTGATTTTTCTCTAAAGTTGATAAACCAGGGCAGGCTCATGAGGCTCAGTTTTCTGAGCTAATGTAATTTTGTTTCCAATAACAATGTAGTTATTTCTTTTTGAAGAGCAAAGTTTTCATGCTAGAAGTGGTGATGTAGAGATTAAGGTGATATTGCACATGTCACAACAGAACCCAGCGAGAAAACATTTTGGAAGAGGAAAAAAAAGTAAAAGTGACAGTCAACTTAGGTATTCCAAAATGCCAGAGGTCCTAAAACCAGAGCAAAAATCTCTAGTACTTCTCTTTCCTGTTTTATTTTTAAACATGGAGCAGACTGAGTATTGTCAGAAGTCAAAGAGTTGTTTCAATAATCATTTCATAAGATATCTTGTCATACAGGATAGATTTTCATCCTTTACAATCTCCCTGAGAACTGTACAGAAAACCTGGCATTCATGTCCAAGCAGGTAAAAATAGACACTCAGTCCCTTAGGGTTTTAAACAGGTAAAAGTAATAATATACAGTTCAGGGCATCATGTGATGTAATAGTTTTGTTAAGTAAAAACAAACAAACAAAAACAAAGGAAACAAAAGAGAGGTAGTTTATTTGTCAGTGTTTGTCTCAGAAAACAACGTGCTTCTTTGTACCAGTTCACCCATTCAGATGATATTTGCACCGCATGACATTTGAGTCAGTGTATTTAATAGTTAAATGAACACCATTGCTTGGTAGGGCACAAACCTGACTCTATTTCGTCTTCCCTGATGGGAGATTTGAGCAGTAGCTTAAAACTGCATGTAATAAAACCAGAAACTGACACCCTGCACCAGGCTCAGCTCTGCTCTCTCCTGGCATTCCTGAATCCTCATTCCATTTGCAGAAACTTTGCTGCCCTTGTACTTTGCATGAAAGTTCCGTCACCATTCACACGGTAATGATACCAGAATCTAACAATTTATTACACTGTGTGAATGTTCCAAATATTCAGGTTGAAAAAGGCAGGAGGTCCGAACATTTCTTGAACTAAAGCCTTGACCATTATCAAGAACTTAGTGCCGTCACAAGTTGTGGCAGGCTCAGTAATGGCTCAAAACCTCTTTGTACAACTCATGTGCCCCCAGGGAGAGAGAACAGGGGCAGCTGCCAACATTAAATTTTGACTATAATTCAGTCGACCAGGAAAATTTCAATCAGTGGCCATGTAAACTGGGCCAAGTCTCAGGTTTTCCAGTTTCTAGTTTTACATGACTAAAATGGATCACACTGCTCAGTGGGAAAACATTTTGAAGAGATCAGAATCTGGATTGTGAACCAATATAGTATAAATTCAACATAGGCTGTTAGTTATGCTTAACCTTTTTCTAATTATGATTCACACTTTTTCACATGTTTAAACCTACTTCTTTTGTTTCTCACTCATGTATTAACAGAAAATATATATGAAAACAAATGGCTATATGTAATTCCGTATACTTTTATAAGTGACGCAAGCTTCTAAGAAATATGGTTGTTCAGTATATATGTATAGTTCTATCTGTGCAAGCGCTGTTATACTTTTGAACTCATTTAACTTATTTTATGCAGTTTCTTCCTTCTTGTTTTCTTTTCCAATTTGTCCTCAGGATTATGCCACAGTCTATCTAAACTTACTACCTACAGTGGCTTTAGTTTTACCACAAAGAAGTCGTGTGGGTCACATTCCATATATTTTTAGAATGTTGTTTTGTCTCTCAATGTAGAGTGAAAGAAATATTTCCTTCTTATTCCAAACCTCAATTTAGGAACCAAATAATAAGTGCTCTCCTTTTTTTTATGTTATACTAATGCTTAAAGCAACTTTTCTGTCTGGCCTTATGTAATTTTCTATATTAGTCATTATGAAGGTGCACTATATTAACTATAGTAAGATAATTTCTTATACTGATAACACTAAGAATAATTAATTAATAAGAAAAGTAGTCAAGAGTAGAATGTATGTTTTGCAGATGGAGAAATAGCTGTTATAAAATTATATGGAATTATATACTATATATCTGTTATATATGTATATATTCTCTATAGATCTATGATTAAAACTATGTATTAGGTTGTCACTTCTCACCTATAGACTTTCTTTTAATCTCATCTCTGTCTCATTTATCATTCTACACAATTTTTAATATTTAAAGTGTTTTCATTCTTTCACCCTCAATAAAAGAGAAAAATTCCTATCTTCCTTTGCCCCAAATTTATTCTTAATGCCATGTGATCATAAGTTTTGAAATTTATAATGGCCATCTTCTCAAAAAACATGATATTTTTATAGTTCTGCATTTTCCTTGCCATTTAAAGTTCTTATACAATTCAAGTAAATTTCAAGGAGCTGATTTGTACTACTTTACCTCATTACACACTTTAAGACTAGAAAGTGACTATAATTCCATAAAGACTGTGTTGTTCCTTGATTTCATAAGCTCTTTAATTTTTTTTTTTGTAATGGCCACCTCCACTTTTCAATGCATGTTTTGTATGCTGCAAGAGTGGTGAAAAGATTACATTTCAAATTCTGGGAACTTTGGACAATAAAACAGTTGCAGCATTTGTTTCCAATTGTTTTTCAGTTTCTTTCAATTTATCATAAAAAGAATTTCAGTCTCCTCAGTCTTATGAAAAGGTCTCTGCCAGATATGACTGTTTGATATAACAAGTAATCTGAAAAAACTTTAGAATATATAGCAGTTTACCAAGAATGGACTTCAAAAACTAAAATTCATTGTGAATCATTTTTTAAAGTATTAACCGGAAATGATGGCTTTGACCAATAAATATGCAGTTCCACTTTTTTATAATTATGATTCCCATGTATTTGTCTAACTACCTGGCAATCTTAACTGGCTTTTGTCAGCAAAATTACATGATTTCTTTTCCTTTCAGGAATATAGTAAAGTATTACTCACACTGGGTTTGTGCACAGAGACATGCAGAGACACTAAACCAAGTGTCTGAACATTTAATGAGCAAAGTGAAAAGACAAACTCAGACTGTGAATTTCGTTGGTTTTTTTTTTTCAGTTTTTACTTTTTAATGAACTTGTAAACAAAAAAGCTCCCATTTCAAAATAAAAACAAAATTCCAGATCGTATAGATGTTTACAGTGATTACATAGCTAAGCAATGTACATATATGTTCAGTTGTAAGGTGTTAAATAAACTTCTGTGACAAATATGTTTTTTTTTTTTAATACCAAGAACATTATAGAGTTAATGCAGTGTCCTAAGGATAATCTAGTAGTCACTAAATTCTTTGTAAGTCTTCACTTTTGATGCTGTTATTTCTAGCACAGGTAAGCAGGCAGTCTTTCATATGCTCAAACACTGGAATCTTTGGTTGCTACCGTATCAGCTGGCTTGCAAACAAGCAGCCAGCCATTTAAAGAATGTTTTAAGTGAACAACTCGCAAACCCCAGGGATGAAAAAACCCTAAGAATGCACGGTTGTGAGCATTTACAACCATCACAACTGTGGCTGAAGATTGTTCATGCCGTTCTCCTGAAATGAGATCTCAAAGTAGGATATTTCAAAATAAAAGGTTTCCACAAAAAATTGGCATATGCATAATTTCTCCACCAATTTGTTTACATGTGTGTGTGTCTGTCTGTCTTTCTGTCAACCATTTAACTAACTTTTCCACTTGAAAAAATGCAATAAAAAACCAGACACCATGTTTCACTATCTCAATATTCACAATTACAGTGGCTACAACCCCAGACAAGGCATCGGCAATGCTGCCCAGAGCCAGTTTATACTGAAATTAACTAAAATTTCTAGATTTTAGTGGGGAGAAACAAATGGGAGAAACAAATGCTGCTCCGATCATCTTCTTTGATTTTCTGTTCTTCAATTCACGCTTAAAAGCCTGTGGGGGTTTGGGCCTGCTGACCCTGCCCACTAGAAGAGGCTGCCTGCTGTGCTGCTTCCTGCTTTAACATTGTCCAATCAAATGTGTATTTGTGAGTCAAGGTCCTGAAAAGGATGCGAGATAGCTGCCTCAGGTACATGTAATCCGGAGCTTCCTCAAAATGCAGCCCACGGCAATAGTTTAAGTACATAGCAAATTCTGCAGGAAACCCCTTACATAAAACTTCAACAGGAGTGGACATCTTCTTTTCACTAATCTTTTCATATTTTTGCTTTTTTGTTGCATCCTTGAGTCCTTGCCATGGCAGGCTGGTTCTATTAAAATATACCAAAACATATCCTAATGACTCCATGTCATCTCCACGACTCTGCTCAATACCAAGATGTGCATTGATGCTAGCATATTGGGCAGTGCCAGTGAGGTTTTTATCTTCTCTGTATGGTATGTGTTGCCTTGTCCTGTTGTCTGTTATTTTGGCCAAACCAAAATCAATAAGGAATAACTTGTTACAGCGATGCCCAATGCCCATTAGGAAGTTATCTGGCTTAATGTCTCTGTGTGTAAAACTCTTTGTATACACATATTCCATTCTACTGATCATCTGGTCAGCTGACATAAGTACAGTTTTCATTGTAAGCTTTCTTGAACAGAAATTGAAGAGGTCTTCAAGGCTGGGTCCCAGAAGATCCATGACTAGCATATTATAGTCTTTTTCCTGGCCATACCACCGTATGTGGGGGACTCCACCTTGAAGAATCGTATAGAGTTGGGCTGGGGATTTAGCTCAGCGGCAAAAGCGCCTGCCTGGCGAGTG